GACTTTTTGCTGACATCAGGATTGAAAAGTTGGTGTTTTAAGGATTTGCTTATAGATAATGGATGAGATATGGGATGAAGAGATATCTGTAATCTTATAGGGGTGAAGTATTACTAAATTTGTCCATACTTGTATTGAAGGTTGGAAGTCATTTCTTTATATATTTCTTTTCTTTTTCTTTATCATATTCTTTCTTTTTTCTTTTTCTTTTTTCTTGCACTTTTATTCTTTTTTCCCGTTCTCTTTCTCTAAGTTTAGATCGTATTGATTTTTACTATTGTAATTAAAAATTCTTAATAAAAATTATATTAAAAACAGACCTTATCCAGGGTGATTTCAGAATACAGTTTCTGTTTACTCTGAAAATACTGCATATTGATTACAAAACTATCAAAGCAAGTATAAAGCTATTTTATTTTATAGAAACATCATAAAGTCTTTCCAATACTGATTTTAATATGCTTTTAGATTTCTTGTTCACATTATTTTTAAAATATATGTACGTACATGTAGTCATAGTCAAATTATGGCTATGTATACACATGTACACACATCTGAGCTAGCATCCCCCTTTAGTTTGGTCCAAATTTTGCCATGCTTTGATACAGAACTTCCAAAAATAAATTCATCCCTTTTTAATTTCAACCCATCCCTGTATTTTAATTGGATTTTGTTAGTTTGGACAATTTGGATATACATGACACAAGTTCTGAGTCACTGTAATGTTGTAAACAAGGACAAGATGTAAGAAATAGGACTACTGGGGCCTGAACCAAACTATGCCTGAACTTTGCTTTGATGAGCCATGATGAACTTCTGTCTCTACAGCTGGGAGATGAGAAACACCATACTGCTGGCTGGAATTCAAGAAATGTTCATTGTGGGCCTCATGGAAATCAGTTAAGAACTTTTCTTTGAAGTTGGAAGGTGAGAAAACAATGAGCACATAGAAAAATCCCTGATCAAAATAAATAACTAAAATGAGGAAAACATGTCTTATTCTGTGCAAACAGCCTCTGGAATATTAAGCCTTACTAAAAATGGTTGTCAAAAAAAGATTAAAGACACACTCGAGCCAACTTGACTTCTAGAGTCTCCATCTCTGCAGTCTCCTTTGCAGCAGTATAGTACATGACTTGCCACGGCCTTCTTCTGAGATGGTTTTTCTACTTCTCATTCTGATCAATGGCCAAGATCCTTGCAATTGTGTCCCCCATCCAAATATTAACCAGAGCCTGCTCAGATGCTGAGATCTGCCAAAAATGTTTAGGATCTGCCACCTGATCTGCCACTGTTTAGGCCTGAACAAAAGTAATACATTTTAAATGTTCACAAGTGGAAAAGTTAACAATTTTATTTTACTGTTGGTTAAAAAACATTTAGTTTTGTGCCATTGCATGACTTTTGTCACATACCTGTGGGAAATGAATCCTCCATTAACTGAAACTGAACATGGAAAGATGTGGGCAGAATGAGGTTTTACTGCAGGAGCCCTGAATGTTAGCATATGATAAGGTTAACTACGTGACTGGGATTAGTTCTAAACAGTATACTGTTATGGTATATGGTTGTTGTTTTTTTTAATTTTGTTATTTTTAAAACCAAAACTTCTGATAGTCTACTTAAGTACTCAAAGTTAGGCTGATAAGGTGGTATCTTTATGCCAAGAATGAAGTGCATTTATTTGTGACTTGTAAAATTCAGTTCAATAATTAATTAACATACAATCAATTTTAATTATAGTATACATTCCTAATCCAGGTAGTAATAAGAACTAAAGAAACAAGAAACTTCAAAACAATAAAAAGAAACAATGACCAGTCAAATAAAAGAAATAGTAATACAGTTTTGTAAAAAAAACCCTATATAATCATCATCATCATCAACATCAGACTGAAGTCAAGAAGAAGGTTAGTAGTGAATACATCAGAAGAGTGAAGAAGATGTTAAAGTCCAAACTCAGTGGTGGAAATACCATCAAGATGATTAACATCTGGGCAATTTCAGTCATTAGATATACAGCTGGAACAATGGACTGGACTCAAGCTGAATTAAAAGCCCTGGA